ACATTCTAAAGACTTCCTTTTACTGTAGTATGTCTTTACTGTGGGTCTAGCTGGTGAAATATTTTCTCAGTTGGTTTACATTGGGCTTTCTTCAATTTGCTTTTGCCTTTTTAAAGTTTATATATTCACTGAGAGAGAGAGAGAAAGAAAGAGAGAGACTTTCAACAGGGCCTTTACACTATGATCTTACTATAAACACTGAAGCCAACCAGTATTACTGGCACATGGTGAACTTGAAACTGCCAGAGGGTACATGTACTAGCTAGAAAGAAGCAGAGATGGAAGGAAGGAATGTGAGGAAGTACTCCCCAGTAGAATGTAGTCATACTGCAAGCCCTTCTCCATTTCTCCATTCAGTTGGGATTTGGAGTGTAAATGCACATATAACCAGCATGTTTCTCAAGCCATCATGACTTGGATTCAGACTCCATGGTTGGCAGTGTGAAATCTGGCCCCCTTAACCACTAGGCTACGGAGCTAGTCCCTCACTAATCTTTTCAACATCATCTAACTTTTTGAGTTCTGAAGCTCAATTATTATACTTTCACAGATCTAGAATTCCCACTTTCTTCTTTTCTATTGATTCTAGTTGTCTGGTGAAAATCTCCATCTTGTCATACATTTCCTAAAACATTACAGTTCTTTTGAAGCTCATGACCGATAATGTCAACATCTTTGTTGCCTATGGTGTTTTAAATCGTATTTTCCTTTTGTCTTGTTCCTAGGTACGTTTGGCAACCTTTGCCTAAATTCCAGGCACTTTGTATGAAACATTGCAGACAGTCTGATGCCATTTTCCTACAGAGAGAACTCACTCCATTCTCTGGCAGGAAGCAGACGAGCCAAGCATCGAGTCATCAGAGACTGAATTGACTTGGCTGAGTTACAATCTTTGTAATGACCGTCCTCCCTCTGATTTTCCTACTGCTCCTGTGGGTCCCTCATGGTTTTACACTGAGAGTCTGAGAGTTTCCTAAATTATCCCCAGATTATTTGGACATGAAATATAAATCGTGACTCCCAAGCAATGCGGTATGACACTCATGCTCTGTCTTTCAGTTACTTTTCTGCTTTTTATCCTTTAGTCTTGTGCATCTTCTCCCATTAACATCTTGTGGAAGAAATGTATGCTCAGTCTTGAGCCTCCTTCCCTACGTCTACCCTGCCCCTGGGATTTTGTCACTTTAAATCGGGCTGTTGTAGCCACAGACTTACATTTTTCTCTTTCTGGCCCTGCGAATTGCCTAAAGCTCTGTCATCTACTCTGCTTTTTCGCAGAAACTCTGTGCCTGGCTCTTGACCTCATGCTGTCTTCCGATAATTAACAAACATCCTGAGAAAAAGGCAAGCAGAAAATTGAGATCATCTCAGTGAGCTTTCTCTTAAGCCCTAGTGCCTTTAGGATTTTTCAATGCATTTCAACAAGTTCTATGTGGCTTTTCTGCTTTTGTTAATTTTTAAGGTATGTTAATTGAGTACAAACTATTTCTTCATCACCAGAACAGAGGGAGTATTCCATGTGATTATTACTAAGATAATTTCTAGCTTCACAGAAACTATTTATTTCATCAAAATTGTATCTTTATTGGCACATGGAACACTATTTTCT